ATTTCTTATTGTCTAATCTTGAACTCTTCCATTGTTAACACAATTTTGTTAGGTTTGGCTTTGTTCTGTCTTGTTTTGTTAGATTTTATGCTGTCGGATGGTAGGGGCAGCTATCCTGAATATAATGGGATGTTTTATAGTAATAGTGGTTTCCTATTATATTGCTTTGAAGTCTTATAATGCTGTCATTCATTGATTGGATTGGTTTTATTCTGTTTGTTTTATTTTATTATGTGTGATGGTATGAAACCTGTTCTGGAGAAAACAAGACATTATGGCAGCCACTGCTGATTTACTATCATCTTGTTTTGAAGCCCTACCATGATTTTGTTCTTCTGTGTTGATTGGTTCTATCCTGTTGTGTTTTATTTGATTTTACTAATTGTGATGGTATGAACAAATCCTTTGAGGAAAATGAGATATTATAGTAGCCATTGTTCATTTCCTGTTACTTGTTTTTGAAGTCCCGTTAATCTTTCATTCTTTTGAATGGTTTTATAGCATTTTGTTATGTTTGATATTATTGTGTATGAAGGTATGCTCAACTATTTCAAAGAAAATACATTACCTTATGGTAACTACTGTTGATGTTCTGTTATCTTGTGGTGAAGGTCTCTGTTGCTTGCATTGTTCCTTTTAGATTTGCTTTGTTTTGTTCTTTTTGTTTTATTCTCTTTTAAAAAAATTTTAAAATGGTAATAAAATAAAATTAAGTGGAAAGCAAAATTTTTAAACATAGTTCCAAAAGAGAGGGGTGAAGACAATTCTTACAGAGCAGATACCTAGCTATCTCCCAATTATCACTGAAATTAAGTTATATTAACATGGGGGTCATGGATCATAAATACAAGGCCGGAAGCTGGGAAAAAGCTGCCTTACAGTTGCACAAATCACGGGAGAAATTTTCTCCTACAATCGTATTCTAAAGGGAAACAGGATTCATCAACAACTTGCCTCCTGAAAAGATGATTTGACCTCATGGCGCAGAAGCAAAAAAGACCTTGGTGTTGGAGAAGCAATGACCTTGGGGTGCTAACCCTACAGATTAGGAGAAAAAATTCCTTTTGGCATCCCTTTATTTACACAGCAACATGCACAACAATTTGCCAGTTTATAAAGTTCCCACCCACAATAGTTTCAGTCAAAATCCTATAGGCACTGACCTCTCTTGTCCCCAACCCTTTGCCTTCTGGCACTGACACTGAAAAAAAAAATTAATACTATCATAATTGTTTTTCTTTTCATGACATCTCCTTTGTCTAACTTTTGTTGCATTTTCTCTTTGCCCTTAAAATCCAAAACATGTACAGGATATGTCCAGATATAAATCTTTATTATAGGCTTTCACTGCACTTGGAATGTACTCTTGATTGGAGGGCTGATTTTAACATCTCAAAGTACTTTTGATTTACTATATTTTAACTATGGTAAACCAATATGATAAAATGGGCCATCCTTGTCATATGTACAGCTCAACAATGAACCTAATCACTGACAACTGCAATGCTGCTGAAATAATGAAAGACACAAGACAGACTGGCCAACGGGGCTACAGTGGAGAGTGCTTTTTGTGTAGATTGCACTGTCATTGGAGAGCTGGCTGGATGTCTTTCTGTACCCTCCTGAACCGCAGTTCAGAGGACCTATGGGAAACTGGGGAGATGTGAAGTGTGGGTGAAGGCAGGTGTGCACCTTGGAGAGAGTCTGCTCTGGACACTGAGGATAAAATTCTTATGGTAACAAAAGATAGCCCTTTCCTTCCACTTCTTCTAAATTCCAAGTGCTGTTTTCTTTTCTTTTTCTTTTTTCTTTTCTTTTTTTTTTTTATTTAGAGATGAACTGAAAATTCTTGTCCAAAACTGGTCCAGTGGCCAATGGCCACAACAGTGTACCCATGCCGTGTCTTCTGTGAGGGTTCTGGTCCACACTAGCAATAAAAGTTAGGGATTGTTTATGGCTAAAGCCATAAAACACTTGAAAATTCCAAACAAAACAAAATAAGGTCTCCTACATACTCTTATCTGCTGTTCAGCATGGTCTTCCCTATAAGCCACCCCAACACCCCATTTGCATTCTGAGCTCTCCCCCCTTAGCTCTGATCTCAACCAAGCCCACCTGTCCTCTATTAGTGTTTCTTAGACTGGTTCTCATTTTCCCAGCAGCTTCTGATGGTTCTCCACTTTACCCTGCTCTCTGACACTTATGGCAAGCTGAGCTTTCCGGGCATTAGCAAAGCTTTTCCACCACCCCTGTACCCCTTTACATAGAATTCTCACTGGCAACTGCTTCCAAAATGCTATAGTCAGTGCCATCCCTGGAGATTTCCATGTTCCTACCAGTCCCAAAAGGTAGGGGAGTCCCTGTCCTAGGCCCCATCTTATTAGAGATAGGTTGGCAATATCTATCCATTCCAAGATATGACAAAATCACAGGTGTTCCTCCCCCTGAGCTCACACCCAAAAGCTGAGGACTGGGAATGAACAGGCCTGATGCTCTCCTTCTCAAGCATCAATATCACAACCCAGAAATGCAAGTTTTTGAGAGCTGGCAATCAAACCCGGGACTTCAGTCATGCTAGACCAGTGCTGTACCACTGAGTGACGGTCCCAGACATGAATACAGCTTTTCTTTCCAATGCTGTTACCGGCCCTTTGCATTTTTGTAAAATTTTATTTGATTAGTGCGTGTTTACTGTGCATGATGCTTACATTCATTTCAGTGAGTAGGCGCATGTAAGTAACACATCTTGGTTTTTTTTATTCCTCTTCCTTTCCCCATCTCCTCTCCTCATTCCCTCTACTCTGCATTCCTGTCCCCATTTTCATTATTATTATTGTTATTATTTAAGGTCATGTGTAGAACACATGTTTACATTCACTATGGGTATTTGCTCCTTGCATGAGACACATCTTAAATCTTTTCACTTTCTCTCCCCGCCTCCCTTGGCTCTGTTTTCTAGATCCCTTCCTTTTTGCAAAGATCTGTCTCCCTGTCTCCTTCTATCATTCCTTTATTTTGCTCTTTGTACTGTGCCTTACTCAAATAAGAGGTGCTATGCGTTATTTAAGCTTGCATGTCTGATTTATTTCACTCATCACTATATTTTCCCATGTGTATCCAATGTCCTACGAATGTCTGAAATTTATCCTTCCTTATATCCCAGTAGTGTCCCAGTGTGCACAGATGCCAAATTTTCTTTATTCACTCATCTGTCAGCAGGTGTACAGGCTCCTGCCAGCACTTAGGTAGCAGGAATTGTGCAGCCATACACATGGGTGTGCCTGTGTCTCTGTAATGTGTTTCAGCTGTAACTCGACAAAGAGGGATTCCTGATGGGGGGAAGGATTTGCTACATTTATTGCATCAATCTGAACAAAGCTCATTTCAATCTGAACAAAGACAGTTCATTGTCTCCTTATTTTGTATAAAATTGAGGATAAAGGTGGAGACTCAGTGACCTTTTCAAAAGACAATTAGAAGTGAACAATAGCTGAGAAGAGTTTATTTTAATGGATACTTGAAATGATCTTTCTGTCTGGACTTCTAAAACCACCGTTATCTCTGGGTTCAGAATCTGATGGGTATTGAGAATGAGTCCATTTGAGAATGTGAAGCATTCAGAGGGTATCTTTTTTTTATTGGTTAAAAATGAAAATACACATATGGATTATCTTTGTGTTTTCTTAAAATTTGAATTTAATTGTCACAGAAACAAAAGACATAATTTAGAATTGAATCAAGTTGAGGTAAGCAACTTCAAAGTACAAGATGTTCTTCCTATTTATACCTTTAAAACTGGTAAATCTCCCTTTTATGTAGACTCTGTGGTGACTGTTATTTCCAGTCTTCTCAGAACCCATTGCTATTTGTCACAAACATTATTATTTTGTCATTTTTACTGTTGTAAAATGAGCTTCATAGAATAATTTTAAAATTCTAAAATGAATGTCATGATTTTGTTATATTAACAATATAAACTATATTTATATATATACAGTTTTTTTGATGTCCTAATAGTAATATAGATGATTAATAAAAGTTTTTTCTGAGTCCAGTGCCCAAAGACTGAACTATATTTCCAGTCCTTTTTTATTTTTTACTTTGAGACAAGGTCTTACTAAATCACTAAGCTGACCGGGGTGGACCTAAACTTGCGATCCTCCTGCCTCAGCCTCCTAGATAGCTTGGATTATAGTCGTAAACTGCCATATTTGGTCAGGAAAATTATTTACAATAAGATAATAGGTACATAAGTGTATGTTGCAGCATAATGACTAAAAGAAAAAATGATGCAGTTGGATGTTAGCACCTATAAACAGAAGCCAACCTTAGCCAGCTAAAGTTATTGCTTCCAATTGTTTTGTGTTGTATTTCCATATCAAAGATGGTATTGCTATGAATCATGCAATTTCCCAATGTAATGAACCACTCTTGGCAAGTTCTGAAAGAACCAAAATAAAAACTTCAATATCAATAATAGATACGTTTTTGGAAATTAAAAAAAATTTCAACCATACCCCCAAATTGAATAAAATTTGTTAAGCTATTCTGATTAATACTAGCATAGTTTTTACTTTATGAATCTCTGGCAGATCTTTACTTGTACTCAAAAATTATTAAGCCTTGCTTCAATGCAAGTAAACTAGTGCCTGACCTCACCATTAAGTGCTAGTGGTCCCCTCATAATGATGGCATCTAAAAATGGCCATTGAGGGTGTTCTTGTCCCATTTCTGTATGAGATTCACTTCTATAGCAATGAGAACAGGCTCCTTGACGTTCTATTTATTCTGTAAATCCTGACAAGATATTTGATACTATTTAATGTTGCATTCCTATGTTTTGAATAATATTTCTTACAGATCTTTAACATTATAACACAGAGAAAGATAAACTTGCTTGGCCTTTACGTACTTAAAATCTGACAGACATCATAATACAATCTATAAGATAAAAAAGATATCATCACAGCAGTAATGTAAGAAAAGCAAGTCTATAGAGCTCTCACAAATAATCTCCTTTAATGTTTCACCATATGTCTTTATTTTCTCGCACATTTTATAGGTGTTACACATGTAATTAAACTGTGGGTGGGTCTTTGTACTTGCTTTATAAACTCATGGGTTAAAGTGAGAAAAGAAAACTAAGAAAATAAATATGAAGGAAAGACAGGTGAGAAATAAAATAAATATAATTTAAAAGAGAAAAGAAAATTTGAAGCAGGAAAAAATTAGGTAATATCATACAGGCAGTTTTTTGCTACTTCTTCAGAATTGGCAACTGTAGTGATCAGAGAAACTCAGAAGGGTTCAGATTTCTCTCTGAAGGATTTATGGGTTCACAGAGTGATAACAAATTAAGAAAGACCTTTAAATCTCAGACATGCTTTTCTTGGAAAAAAAGTTCTTTTAATTTATTTGGTTCCTTTATATATATTGCTCATTTATTTTGGTTTTCTGGTGCATCAAATATGAAACAGGATCAGTTCTTTGGAAAGTTCTAGGATTATCAAAATTCTAAGGCAAGAGAGAAATGGGCGGGAGAGAAAAAAACAAGAGACAAAAACCACACAAGTATCAATCTAGTCATTAATAGACATTCTTGAAATAAAATCAGCTTAATATGGTACATGTTATGTTACTAATAAAATTGAAAAATGTTGCCCCAAATTAAAAAACCCCAAATTATTTAATAATTCACAGGATTACAATTTCACTACTTTTGAGTATATTGATTTATCCATTTCTTAAATATTGAGAAAATCTTCCTGATGCAGCCTCATCTCAGAGTCTAAATTAATGCTTATTTTGCATATTTCTCATAAGTTCTTTTGTTACAAACGTAATTGTCATTCATTTTTTAAAATGCATATCTTTAAGACTGGAACAGAGCTCTAAAACTGTCAATACAAACTTTCCATCCTCAAAGAAAATCTAAGTTAAATTTAGTCCAGTATATTAAAAAAAAGGAAAAAAATTAGTCACCTTCCTTGGGGATTCATTTTGATGCCCAGAAGGTCATTGATCAAAACTATTTTCAAAGTTTCAGTCTCAGCACTATTGGCCATGCTTAGTAAACCTGTGAGTGATTTTTGGAGGAACAGTATAATTGATGCTGTTGAACAACTGATTTTTAATCCTTAATCTTGATGTTTCAAAAGATATATCAAGAAAATGTTATTATTGTACAAATCTTTGGATTCTATTTCTCTAATTTTTAGATATGTGAGCTCTCTCCAAAGTGATAATAGTCTCAAAACTGTCTTACTCTTCTCTCCCCTGATCTGTGTTTTTTGTTTGTTTGTTTGTTTTTTGGCCAGGATGTGAATGAAACAGGGTTTCTTGTCTGGTGTGTAAACTAGAGTGTATCTTTGCATCTAGATAGATAACTTGGACCAGGACGAACCTGAGTAGAGCAAAACTGAGTAAGAGAACTAGATTATTGAGTCCAATGGCAAGCCTAAGAAAAGACAATAGTTCAAAACACAAAAATTAGAGAGCTAAAAAAACCCTGTAGCACCTATTAGACTGATATTACTTGATGTGCCAAGCATCACATACTGGGAAAGAGTGTGACTTCTTTATGAATGGCATCTTTCAGAGTCCATCCACAAAGATCAAATTAACATTGGGAGGACTGCTCTGATAGTCTTGTTTTTCTGTTCAACTGGATGAAATCATGACCTTGATCAAGTGATGAAATATCATTCTTATCTTCCTCCCCATTTTCCATCTCAATGTAAAGAACTCAATATTGCAGTCCACAGCTAATGGCACAACAAACAATTCCACAGGTCGATTATCTTCTGCTTAAACCAGTGGCTTCCGCCCAAAACAAAGAGCAGCAAATCACAGCAGCTGATTGCTGTTATGCTCAATAAGATTTCATTGTAAAATACAAAGTCGTTATTACAGTCCTTGGATTGCGCCACCACATGTAAATAATAGATCCTGAAGAACTGGTAGGGGAGAAAGCAAATAAGGATGATGCCGATGAAAAATAAGTTCTTCAGCTGAGCCCAGAACTCCTGGTGGGAGAGGAAGGAGTGGTGGAGCTTCTGTATCATGGACATAATGATGAAGATCTGAAGGGCCAAGAGTGTCACTGCAGTGGCTATGACGAGAATGACTATCATGTAGTTGATGACTTGCACGGATGGGTAGATAAGTTCTTTATGGAATTCAAAACAGTGCTGGTCATTGTAGTCCTCCTTATTTCCATAATAGGAAAAGATGACAGGCACCACGATGACAATCACCAAAAGCCACATGCCAGCACTGGCTGCAACCGCGTGCAGTTTCCTGTAGAATTCCACTTTGTCCTTGCGCTTAAAGAAGATGAGGTACCGGATGACCAGGATGACCACATAGAAGAGGAAAGTGAGGTACATGTGGATGTGCAGCATGGCACTCACGAGTCTGCAGAAAATCAGGCCAAACTTCCACGTCTCCTCGATGAGGTAGGACAAGCGGAAAGGCACAGTCAGCAGGAACACCCCATGGATCACCACCAGGTTAATGACAGCCGTGGTGGTCACAGAGCGGGTGTTCATCTTCACGAGCAAGAACAGAATGGAGATGACCCCCAACAGTCCTCCAATGAGCACGACAAAGTAGAGCCTGGTTAGATGGGGCGTCAGGATGGGGCTGCAGGAGGAATTCCAGGAGACATTGTTGCCAGTCATCCTGCAGACATCTCCTGGAGGACCAGCTTCCACAACTTGTTCAGAGCCCCCTCAAGGTACTGACAGGCCTCTTTGTAATTTACACTTTCACATGATATAGGTTCTGTGTACTCTGAGCACGAAGATTATAACCAAGTATGGTGGCCCATGCTGTAATCCCAGCACTCGAGAGGATAAAACAGGAAGATGCCAGATTTGAGGCCAGCAGGGTAATTTAGCGAATCCTGTTTCAAAATAAAAAGAGATGCAGCTCAGTGGAAAGACCCTGGGTTTAATCCCCAGCACCACACACACACACACACACACACACACACACACACACACACAAGAATGGAAGTGCTTTCTTTGCCTGTTTCCATATTCCTAAACCAAAATTACAGTAAGCCCCCAAGTTAGTTCATTTGCTGTTAATATTTATAAAATATCACAGACTGGGTAACTTTCTATAAGAAAGTTCTTTGGCTCAAAGTTGTGAAAGTCCAAGGCCAAAGTGATACACATGATAGTGACCTTCTTGCTAGCTAAGTTGCAGAGAGGCTCAGAGCATCACATAGCAAGAAAACAGAAGGACCTGTGCAGGTCAATGTTTTGTTCAGGTCACTCTCCTTTCTGTAAAGTCAGTAGGACTCTGTCATAAGGATTCTACCCTAAGAGCTACCTAACCCTAATCCTCTCCCCAAAACTCCACCTCTAAGTACCGTAGTTGGATTGAATTTCTACCCTCTCAATATCCCACCATGCAGATTAAATTTCAACACGTGAAACCTTACCCAGCACACACTCACTCAAGCCTTATCCATAGCACCCATGGATTTGTAAGCTTTAATAAAAATAAAAACCTACTCAATCTCTGAGAAAGCAATTTTCAAAGTTCTTCAGAGACTGAGGCTCCATCTGGGGCTGAAACGTGAGTACCAGTGCTATGGTCTACAGGAAGACATTGTAAGATGGATGGAATGATGAACGGATGCAGGAAGTGTTGAAAAATATTTTCTTAGGTAGGATTTCCAAGTCCTTCTAACTCATTAGCAATAGATTCCAGAATAGTCACACTTAATTAATGCACGATATTGGATAATTTCAGCAAAATCTGAGTGAAATCAAGATAGCCACAAATTAATAGCAAGGCTTATTTGAACTTCTAATGGTAGTTATAGTTTCATCAAAAAGGAGGAATTTGCTAAGTTCTTCCAAGATCCCCACTAAAAATGTGACAAATGTCCCAATTCTCATCTCCCTTACATTCAAACACCTTGGAGATTCATTTCTCTTCTGAACTCCTGAAATTTCCACTTTCCAAATAATCAGTTTCTCATACTTCATATTCTAATTCATTATGTTATTAAAGATTTAAAAGTCTTATAATTTCACTAAATAAACCATGTCATATTTCCTATTTAAATCCCTGCAATTGTTTTCCATCTCTTTTAAGGTAAAGATCAATGACCCTCACATGTCTAGCGTGGTCTGGGTTACAGTGAAAAAAAATCTAATCATCCTTCCCAATCATCCTCATGAGGCATGATTAACAATTCAGTAAAGGCTTCCCCAGATCAGGGCCTTTCCCAAAGGCAAAATGACGAAAAAAGGTAAACGATTTGAATTGATTTAGGCAGCTGATCAAGGCAGCTGTGGCAGTGCAACAAAAGAGACACAAAAGAGATCTTTCAGAACTGCTTCGGGAAGTGGCAGAAAGTCAGGGACTAGTGTGTTCCAAGCAAGAGGGAGTAAACTGAGAGAGATTAACAGCAATGTGTCTTTTCTGTAATGATGCTTTGAAGTTTTTAAACATTCACTGTATTTCTATCAGAACGTACAACATAGTATCAGTACAGTGCCTTTTACTGTAATAATTTTAAACTATTTAAAAAATATTCACCACATTTATATCAGGACACACACACACACACACAACAAACCAGACACACAGATTTATCTGTGCTAATGAAATATCAAGAGGGGAGAGACATAGAAAATTGCCTAAAAATACTTTCTAGGGAGATAGAAATTTATAAAAGTTGAAAAACACTACTAAATAGAAGATTCCAGTCTCAAAACTACATTGTATGATTTCTTTGTCTAGAAATGGCAAAACTAACTAGAGAGAGAGGGAGAGAGTGGATCAGTGAAACTCAAGGCCCAAGCCGTGGGAGAAAGGACTGACTTTATGAGGTCTGGCATGATGGGAAATGTTTGTGTCGTTTAGCTAATATTGTGGTTATTTATCAAAGCCCATCAAACTGTACAGTTAAAATCACTACTTACCTTTCAATTTTCCTATAGAAATGAAGTTCCTTGAAATGGAAATTATCATGAGTTCACATCGGAGTTATGAATGAATATGTCATCATCAGTTCTGTTCACCATGTCCCTTGGCTATTGGCCTAGTACAACTGGCTTCTGAAAAAATAAAAGGGTAAAACCAAAACCATATTCCTTGTCTTAAATTTTCTGTGCTTATTACAAACTGCCACATTCTCTTAGCTTCAAATATCAGAAACACATGTCAATTGTAAAGTGCCAGGGCTCTGTTGCGTACTTGCCTGTGCATTGTCTTAGAGAGTTCTATGGATTATGTAAAGTATTATTTCACTGAATTTTAGACCATGAAAGTGAGCTCTAGAGACAGCATAAGTCATTTGAAGAAGGCTTCCAGAGCCACACACACACACACACACACACACACACACACACACACATACACACACACACAGGCACACACACACATACACACACACACGCACAGGCACACACACACATGGGCTGAATTTATTGTGCATCATGGAGAATCACTGGGACTTTCTTTAGGTCACATTTCTGCTTCATAAACAGAAATGAGACCATGAGTCTCATTGTGGGGGGGAGGGGCGCGTGCTGGGGATCCAATGGAGGGTATTGCGCATGCCAGGCAAGTGCTGTATCACTAAGCTATCTTCCTAGACCCCTGCCATCTCAAAAGCTGCTCTTCCATTTTTGAGTTTCTTATTTTTCCATGCATTCTACTTGGTTTGCAGCAGATCCTGCAGGTTAGCTCACCCACTATCCATCCTTACCATCTCCTTTCTGCCTTTCGTTGATAGATCTTTCACAGCTATCGTGTCTGTGTTTAATTTGGTTTCTGCTTTTCTGTTGCACTATTGTAAAAAGCTGGAAGCAAAAACAACAGTCAAATGAGGAATGTCAGTGCACACAGAGATTAGAACACTTAGAAAATCACTCGTGGAATTGTCTGCTTACTCTGAGACAGGTCTACTAGAATTCTGATATTCAGTACAATACAACCTGGATTTCAAATACTGAGATAACTTGTTAAATACAACTTCAGCCAGAAATAATATCAAATGAAAATGATAGAACAATTGAAAGACAAAAGTTGTTGGCTAATGAGATAAATGGGATCAACTCTATGATATTTACAAAAATGCTAAGAATCATAAGAAAAATGATACATTCTTTATTAAATGTATGAAACCCTTGATATTTCTAAGAATGATTCTTTTTAAAAGTCTGCTTTTTCTGACACAATTGAGCCTTTTTTGGTTTAGTATTGCATTTTTCCTGAACTTTTCCTTGCAGATTTTATGCTTGTTACTTTTTGAATGTGTATTTTGCAGACAAAAATAACTCTTTTCTTTCCAATTTAATGTTACAAATTCAGAGCATTTTCATTGTATTTACTTCATCCCTCTATATTACTGCTTCATGTATTTTAATTCCGCATATGCATTAAACACCACACACTATTATTATTGCATTGTACAGTTAATTATTTTCAATTTTTTACTTTAAAAGAAATCAGAAAAGAAAAACAAAAAGCAAAAGAGATAAATAACAACAACAAACCCAAAACAATAACAATATAGGTTTTCAAAACAGAATGAAAGAAATTTAACAATGTTTGCTATAGTGCTTATTGTTCTTGTACAGTTAATGTTGAATTATAGTTGTTTCTATTTCTCAGTTAGTGTCCTTACCTTTTGCTCTTTAATTTCTTCCTGTAATTCTATATTTACATCCAGAAAAACATTTCTTATGTTGAAGAATCCAATTTAATATTTCTTTTAGTGCAGTTTTCTGGGTTTTATCATTTTATGTGTAAGTTTGAAATTATTTTCATTTCATCTTAACTGTTAGGATCTAAAACTGATGACACTGCCTTAATTAATATTGTGTTTCCTTCTGTTTTAGCTTCTCTTTGAGTTTGGTTTAGTTTCATGCCTGTTTTTCAAACATTTTCCCAGTTATTCTGCTGAGGTTGGGTCTTCATGCTTTCTTAAATTTAAGGGTTGGTGTCTGTCATGATTTGTGTAAATGTTCCTCCCAAAATCTCACCAGCTCATAGGTGGAGTTTTTCAATGGTGGCTCAATCTAGGGTGTGTGAATATGGCTTAAGGGCTGTGATAATTGAATTGGTCCACTGACTGGTCTAATGTGGGTGTGGACTATGTAAAGTGCCACTCTAGGTTTGGATGGCACCAAACCATAGGCTTGTAGCCTAGAGTGATTACAAAGGGACATAAAGAGGTCTCCTGCGTCCTGCCTGTCCTGCCCTGAATTGTTTCTCCTCTGTGATGCCCTTCTGCTTCTCCACCCTACCTCGGAACCAGCCAACTGTGGACTGAACCTTCTACAATCTGTAAGCTAAAGTAACTCTTTCCTCCTTTAAACTGGGGGTGTGACATACTTTGTCTGAGTAACAAGAAAGTAACTAAGACTGTTCGCTTACCCACTTTCAGGCAAATGTCCACACTACTCCTGCAAATATATTGTTTTATCGCAATCTCTGCTCTCAGAGCTCAACTATATTTGTGCCAGATATTTCTCTCTTATCTCTACTTTTTGCTGAATATCTATATGCATTTTCACCTCTGTGCCATCTTTTAGATATTTTCAGCTATTATTATTCAATTCTCTTATCTTTGGCTGTGTCTAATCTGCTGCAGAACCAACTAATGTGTTCATAATGCCAGATAGGAAGTGATTTCAGTTCTAGAGTGTGTAACTATTTCTCTATATAAATTCTTTGCTTATGAATTTTCTCATACACTATTTATTTTTTCCTCCAAATTTTTAAATTTAATTTAATTTTAAAGAGGATAAAACAGAATAAAATTAATCAAAACAAACCAGTGTAAGAAATATGGGACTTCAAAATATTACAAAATCAACAATAGTTACCACAATGCCTCTTTATGCCTCCAAAATAGCTGCAGATACTTTCAGATATAGTAAAAATCTAACAGAACAGAATAGAATAGAAACAATAAAGACAAAACAAAGATTGCGATAAATGACTTCAAAACAAGACAATAGTAAATCCAAACTTGCTACCATAATATATCTTGCTATCTTTGAAATAGCTGCCCCTGTCATCAGATTTGACATAAACAAACAGAAGAAAAACAAAGAAAACCCAACACAATAAAACAGTGGAAGTGATATAGAACTTCCAAAACAAGACCATAGGGAATCAACAAAGGCTGCAACCCTCAGGAGATTCCCCCCTAGATGCCACACTGCTTACTGCTCCCCTCTGAACCTATGGTCAGACCACTGGCCCTAGACCTGCAATGTTAGTGAAACACCAAAGCACCACAGGCATCCAACTGCATTTCACCTCCATAGTTATCATTACAGCCTAGAGTTTATGGATCAGCCATTCTCTTATGATACTGTGGGAGAGGGGGAATGGTACTTCCTATCTGCCAGCCTGAGCACTGGAAGGGGCTGGGCTCTGTCTGTTTCATTCTTCAGCAGCTCGTGCATGGTGCTGGTTTCCAGACTGGGCTTGCTTCCTGGTGTGGCCTTTTTCTTTCTACCCCTAGTCTGCAAATGGCATCCTCCAATTTCTTAAAACCTTTAATTCCATATTTATTTTAGAGGGCTTGTCAGTAATATTTAAGGATGTATTTTTCCTTAGTTTTTTTTTTATTATATGATCTTGGCATTACTAGTACTTTATTACTAACTTGTAGGTATTTGGAAGGTTTTTAAAAAATAATGTAGTTTCCAAGTGATGCTCTCTTCCTCCAAAGAAGGGTCACCATTTCCTCCAATATGTTCAGAGTATTTGTCATCAAGGCTCACTGATAGTCCCAGCAAGGCTCTTTACACTTTTGGGTCTCCTTATCCCTTCTATATTCTCAACTACTTCCAAAAATATTATCCCTAATCCCCTTTTCTGATAGATCTAGACTAACTTTTGATCTTTGATATACAAAACTGCTGATAACTCTTCTATGTTTTTCAGAAGTTTTCAAGTTTAACATTTTAATCTTCTATCCCCAAAATCTCAGAATTAACCACAACGTTCTCACACATTGCTGAAGAACATAAATTCCCAGCCCTGCGTTGGAAAATACCACTATGACCAAAGCAGGTGTTTGTCTCGGCTCACCTGTTTGATCTTTTCTGTCCTCTGGAGTCTTGACCTCTGCTCATTCTTTTCCTCCTGACACTTTGTTGTCTTCAAATAAATAACTTCTGTTTTATATTTTATCTAGATTTTCACATTGTTCTTGGTGAAAGCCCTGAAAAGCTGATAGCCATTCTGTCTCATGAAGATTCAAAAGCTAATGACGTTTTAAAGTTTCAGTAATGCAGTAAACCCATGTGCTCTTGAAATCAATTACATTCACCAGAAGAAAAAGATAATGTCATTTTAAACATAGAAAGATTACTTCCCTAACTTTCAAAAATTTTCCATTATGTAATGAGTAAGTAATGGATTTTGTCAATTCTCAAGTGCATTATCTAATTCCTGCTTTCAGCAGGCACAGCCCACAACCCCCTCTCCTAGATCTCTCAGCCCTGGTTACACTGGTCTTGTCCCAGATGCTACAGTACCCCAAACTCTTTGTGTTTGTGCCATGGCACTACCACTGCTCACAAACCCCACCCTCTAGCTATCTACTCATCCTTCAGACACCAGATCTATATCCAGTGACCCAGGAAACCTTTCTCTCACCCATAGTAGGACCAGGTCATCCTGATCCTCTCAGAACTCTATAAGTGTGATTAAATATTTACTTGTGCAAATCATACTAGGTGATGGCATTTTTCTACCCCTACCTTAAGATCATAAATTCCATAGGGAAAAAGGCTGTGTGTGTTTTCTACATTTGTATCCGTATCAGTATCCCCCAGAAAATGGTCCCTCAATCAGTGGAGGTTGCCATGCTGCCACCATTTTGTCTGCCTGGACCCAGGACGTTGCCCACCACTTCTGAGGTTTTTTGTAGTGTGCTTTGCACACAGGATATTGTGTAGGACTCCCAGCCTCAAGTGCAGCTTCTCCATTCTGCACCCTGGACCTCTACACTGTGCCTGTTCCCTCTCACTCTGCCTGCCTAGGGGTGCACTCTCCTTTCACATCACTCCCAGGGATCCAAGCTTTGAATGGATTCAGTAACACGGTTAAAAGGAAAAAGAAGACAGAAAAGGTTTAAAAAGCTTGTTCTGCCTAAGAAATTTCTTCTTTGCTTCTTCATATAAGGCACTTTTCTTGTGTTCCTTTTTTTGTGGAAACTGAACACACTCATTAATTGTTGTGTATTACCATGACATATTGTATACGCTGATTCTTTCCCTCTGTACCCCGCTCCCCTTTCTCACCACTTCCCTCCCCCTTCCCCATCTCTAAAGTCTACCTTTAGTGACTTACCATTCCTCCACTTTTGTTGATTCATTGATCATTTGTGGGAAAATACGCAATATTTAACTTCCAGAAGCTGACATTGCAAATAACACAATGCATTTCAGTTTCATTCACTTTCTGCAAATCGCATGATTTCCTTCTTCTTTATGCTGAAATAATATTCCATTGTATATGTATACTACATTTGTTTAATGCATTCATCTGTTGATAGGCATCGAGGCTGCTTCACAGCTCAGCTATTGTAAATTGCACTGCCATAAACATGGGTCTGCTGCATTCTTTAGGAAGATAACACTGAATGCTATATCTGAGTCATATTCTATTTCTCTTTTTAATTTTTTGAGGAATCTTCGTATGGATTTCAAAAGTGGTTGTTCTAGTAGTTTACGCTCTCATGGATGGTATAGGAGGGAGGGTTCCTTTTCCTCCTGTGTCTTTGCTGGCATTAACTGTGTTTCGTACGCTTGATGTTAGCAATTTTGATCAGAGAGAGACAAAATTTAAATGTAGTTTGGTTTGCATATCCTTAGTGAATAAATATGTTGAACATTTTTCCATTATTTACGGCCATTTATACCACTTTTGAGAAGTACCTAATTCGATAAGTTTTCCAATTCGTTGAAAACAAATTTGTTTGGGGAGCATTATTGCTTTGAGTTACTCGTATATTCTAGGTATTCATCCTCTATCAGAAGGCATAATTATTTTCTTGAAGATAACTTCAACCTAAAGAATGAGCCCTGTGTATCCAAGATGATTCGCCAGTTTTCTGAAAGCCAAGCAAGAAAGAAAATAAGGGAATTGCAAGAAGAAAATAAATAAAAGATTTTGAGACCACAGGCAGCAAGTGAGGTCAGAAAAGGATTAAGGGCCAATTTCTTCCAAGGGAGAAAAAAAAGAATCCATGTGTTGAAGAACTATTTCTGTATATTGAATATGTCCCTAGGGGTTGCTGACTTTTTAATTAGTTGACCTGAAATTTTTCTCTATCCTCTCTTTTCTTTCTCTAAGTGATAACTCACTCTTTCATGCACCTGACTGAGATTAGCCAGTGTCACACCAGCAGCCCAGGTCTCATGTGTTTACAGTAGCCTGTTCTCCAGTCCACAAAGACATGTAAACATGGAATACGAACAAAATTATTCTGTCAGTATCACATTAAAGAATTGCATTCTCCAAACTGAAAGTTGAAGCATTGAAATCTGCAGACAGTTCTCATTTGAGTTTGGTTTTAGTGGTGTCTTATGAATCTTACAATTCAAATTTCTTTGTACAGTGGTTTCTTTCAGTAGCAATTAATAGCAGCATCGATTCAATTAAAGTAAACCTATTTGTTTAAACCTAAGCTTTTAAAGATTTTCTAGTCTTATTACCTTATGTGGCTGTTACACTTTAATGCCCACAAAGAATAGAAGAAATTTCAAGTTTCTGCACAAAATAGAATGTTCAAAGCTTAAAATTCTTGGGAGGAAATATCTTCATAAAAAAATTTGAGCACACACCAAAATAATAAATGCTGTTTAGAAATGTGTTTGGTGTCTCACTTCAAAAGAGTGGCTTGGTAATGGGAACAATGTGCAATGTCTGAGAATGCAGCGGGCTGTGAAATGGTGACTGGCTGGGTCTGTGACAGGCAGGCCCGAAAGCAAACTCCACAGCCAGGATCTGGTGACCTAGAACAACCGAGCCAGTACCCACAGCCACATACTCAGAGACAAACAGAGGTGACAGCTTTGAAGTGTGTTACATGCAGATTTTGCCAAGTGCAGTAAAATGCCATCTTATTAAATGAGAGGCTCTGTTTCTTCTCCGGAATGTCAAGTTTAGATGATATGTGTTTAGATTTCTTAAAACTGATGCTAGGGTCTTGAAATTTTCCCTCAGCCATGGGACACAGATACTTTCAAGAGGAAAACAAAAGATCAACAACAACAAACTACCAAACCTAGGAAGCACCTAAGATAAAGTGTGTGTTTGAGACCCAATTATTATTACTTAAAGACTCCACATCCAAATGCTATAAGAAGAAAATGTATACTAGCCCAGAATTTAGCACAAGGTGTTAACTATTGTAATTCAATAAACTCATGAAACAAAAGAGAGAGAAAAATACATCATGATGATGAGAGAGGGAAAGAAGAGAAGAAAGAGGGAAAAAAGAGACAGAAAAAAGAAAGAAAGGAATGAGGAAAAGGAGGAACAGGGATGAAACAGAGAAAAATAGGAAAGGCTCTGGGGTCCTAAGTAGAATGTCAGTGCTTCTCTGTGATGTTTTCCTGGTCGTTACAACAGGAAATGAAACAAATATCATGATTATTTACCCTATTAATTGTCAATAGAATGGGTGCTGTTTGCCCACAAGGGCCGCTGATCCTTGTAAGACCTGAAAGAAGATGACAGATCTCCTTTTGTTTACATGGAAGTGATCCGTCACAAATATGAGAAACTTGGAAATTTTTTTTTAAAAACAACATTAATAACATAGATTTGTTGGTGCTATCTTGATATCTCATCCATGCATCTTTATTGTATTTTCTCTTCCTAATATGTTCTATCCTAGTCAATGGCTCTTACATGTGCTCAAGGAACAAACTCAGATTCTATTTCCTTCAAGAACACGAGTGGTCTCCAAAGATGTTTTCAGCTGCTTTCTTGAAATAATTTATGCATGCCCACAGTTCTTCTTGCATTTTCTTCTCTTTTAAGTCTATATTTGAGTCATTTGTGAGCTTGATTGTAACTTTAAATTCAACACTAGATTTTTTTAAAAATTGTGGTCCCAAGTTGTTCAGTGAATGGATGAAATGATGGTGAAAAGCTCCTTGAGCTACTAAACCTTCCTGGGAGGGTGCAATGTGTCACTAGATCACCACCTGAGGTTAGGATCCAACTGTAAACTGCAGACCCCAGGCAGTCTCTCTCAAGGCAGCATGGCTGTCTCTCTGACTGGCCTTGGGCCACCTTCTGCTGGACAGGGACCCCTTCTCTACCTCTGCGAATGACCCCTGAAGACCAGCAGGAAGCCTGACTCCAATTCCAAATTTCACCTGTCCTCTTTCATTCTCTCACTGAATACCTTTGCAATTTGGCTCAGTCTACATCTCAAAGCTCATTTCTCACAGCTCCCTTTCCTCAATCTCATCCTGCGTCCCCCGATGTACTCCCCATGCCTGGAAGGTCCTCTTTCACACGTCCAGTTGTCTTTTCTCTCTGCACTCTAAATGCATAGCTAGACTCCTAGATTAAAGTCCAAATTGCATCCCAATCTACTTCATTTCTCTTCTTGAAAACGTTTCCTGGCCTCCCATTGTATCCTTTACTTAACTGTCATTGGAGACCAAGGCTCACTGCCTTTTGTTATCTCTCGCCCTGCTGGAGCATCAGGACTCTTCCCTCCCACCTGCATGGTTTTTTCTTTTGCTCTTACCTTAGTCCCACACCGAAGAGCTCTTTGGATCTGTGTAAGAATGGCTGGTGTTGATTTCTTTGTGCCTTGCCAGTTCCTATACTAAGCCGGGCACACAGCGCTGCGTGGGCATTGGCTATTTTTGCATGTGAGAAAGAACTGCCCAATGGTCAGAAGTGAGACATGGAGGTGGTTTCTCTGGCTCTGTAATAAAGGACCTATGTTGGAACCAACCTCAATGTGCAAAATAAGAGTCCTACAATATTTGTAGACTCTGACAAAACAATAAAGCAATCCACACCCTTATAAGCATTTAGACTTTAGTTACCAGGACCACTTTGTACTTCTGAACAGGTAATCTACAATGTATTTTAGGATTTCTCACTTCACTTATTAAACAAATAATATCATTCTAAGTGTTTTTTGTGTAATAGACAGACAGGATTCAGAAATGGATGAAACACATTAAGTCTCCTGAAATTACATCTCCTGTTTAGTAAGAGAAAGGGTAGTATATAAATTATTTACAGGAGCTACTAGAGTCCCATAAAAATTGCTACAAATTAGGAAAGGGGAATAGTTAAAGTAGTCTATAATAAAACTACCAAAGTTGACTAACAAACGCTTGGATACAGATATGTAACATGTACTGGGGATTGAATCCAGGGAGTTTCACATGCTGAGCAAGTGCTCTATCCATGAGCTACATCTCTACCCTCTGCCCGGGACCTTGAAGGACGCATTAAGTTTCTGGAAGTGGACAGGAGGAAGTAAAGCAGTGCAGTAGAAGACCAGCATCTGAGCAAAGGCTTGGATACATGCTCAGGGAATTACCAACAGTCCAATTGCCTGAGTCAGAAGACAAATGAATAGAACCAGTTGATTTCTGAAGATGAGGCTTAACAAACACACCTTGTGTCTCCACACCAAAGGTTTGCTAATTCATCTTGAAAATGACAAGATGCAGAGAATTTTGTCAAGGGACATTTTAGCTTTTCAATTTCAAAAGCACGTTTTGGAAACATAAAAAAGAGTTGGAGGAGGGCACGACTCCCCCAAATGTGATATCATTGGCTAGCTATCACATTGGTCAGGTTTAAAGGATTTAGGGCAAGTTGGCACAAGTCAGCATCAGGAGAATTTGCTGCCAAGCTGAACAAAAATGGAATAGAGGTTGGAGAGGGAGGGAAACACTCTAGCTGAATCCATCAGCAAGTGGTGACATCTTCATAGTCAATAGAGACATAAAAAGGCAAGAAATATCTTTGAACATTTTAGGCAATCAAATATCATATTAGATAGACACCTTCAATATCTCAAGCAAGAAAAATTATCAGAATAATTCATTTGCTAAAAAGACAAAGAGGAGAAAAATGTAATTTTGAATGTCCTTGGGTGAAAAACACAGTGATGTGGGGAAAAATAAGAGCTGTTGTTGAAATAAAGATATTACTACTAAAGGACTAACGAAAATATTCATAGAGGTTTTCTCAGATGGATCAATAACAACAGGAGAACAATTTAAAGGAAAAGATAAGAAACAAAAGCTACGAGTTTTGACATCATGTGACGGGAACAGAATGGAATGGAATTCTTGGGTAGATAATCAAAGAACATGTTGTATGCACAACAATGGTAAAATATGATGCGGAGAGGTCCCACACAGCACCGCGAGGAAGACTCCTAATTAGACACAAGAGATGAACTCATAAGGATACAAACTTGTACATCTCTGCCAATGCCTAATGCTAACCTAACTTGGTGAAGTATTACCAAAGCTAAGCTCCAGCCACCACATCAGACAGACACATATAGGTGTCCCTTGAAAAGTTCTCTTTCAGCTTACAGTAGTTCTATTTTCCATGGCCTGACAGTCATGTTTAATTTCTTGTCCTCCCCCTTCTAAAATTCACCTCTACTGTTACAGCAGATCCAATCTCTGTCTTTCATAAGAATCCATGTGAGACCTCTGGGTCAGATTCTTTTCTGTAGAGGATGTTACTGATTGACTTGGCAAAATAGTAACAAAGCCTGTACTTTAAGTGATGGAATTGAATCAATGTTACTTCCCTGAACTTGACCCCTGTATGTGGTTATGTGGAAGAATATCTTGTTTTTAAGAAACATATACTGTGTACTGTAGGGATAAAAGCATTATGTCTTCAAGTTCATTTTTAAAACAATACAGTAACTTGTAATAAGCCTTTTCACTTCTTAAAAAAGTGAAAAGCTAAAGTGGTAAAAAATATTATTGAGGAACTAGGGAAAACCATACTTTGAAGTTCTTTATACCGTTCTTATAATATTTCTATAAATGCTCTGTATGAAAGTATTCCTAAATTAAAATATTATAAAAATAAAAT